ATTTCTTATTAAAATTATAAATTTTAATATAGAGAGAAAATTTCAATTTTCACTATATTTTATTAGTAAATTTAGCTCCTAAGTCATTATTTTTGGTTGTCACTGTATATTAAACTAGAGAACTTTAGTTATTTTTTGAGCTAAAAATAAAAAATATTTGTTAGTAAAATTAAATCTTTTATATATAAAGAAAAATACATATTTTACTAATTATAATTAGTAAAAAATTTAAATATTATATTATTTTTGATTGCTACTATATATTATAATAAAAATTAATTAAAATAATATATTTTATATATAGTAATAGTTAAAAATAATATATTAAAAATTAAATTTATTAATAAAATTAAAATTATTTCTTTATATTAAACTTTTAAATTTTTTCTAAAACTATTCTAATTATAATTTATTATAATATTTTTTTCTAATTAAAATTTATTTTTAATTAAAAAAATTTATAATAATTTTATTAAAATAATTCTTTAAGAAAAATTTAAAAAATATATATTAAATTATAACTTATAATGATAATTAAAAGTAATGTAATACTTAAATTTTTTATTAATTATAATTAATAAAAAATTTAAGTATTATATTACTTTTAATTACTATTATATAATATAAAAATAAAAAATATTTGTTAATAAAATTAAAAAGTTTAATATAAAAAAAATTTTATTTTTAATATATTATTTTTAGTTATTATCATAAAAATAAAATATTATTAATAAAATTATAAAGTTTAATATAAAAAAATTTTAATTTTATCATATTTTATTAATAAATTTAATTTTTTAATATATTATTTTTGATTATTATTATATTATATAAAATAATTTTATATTAATTTTTTTAAATTTTTTTTAAAATAAGAATTTTTAATTTAAAATAAATATTTAATTTATTTTTGAATTTTTAATTTATTTTTAAAATAAGAATTTTTAATTTAAATAAATTTATAAATAATTTAAATAATAAATTTTCTAATTATTATTAATTTACTTAAATTATTTAAATTAAGAATTTTTAAATTAAAAATAAATCAAATTTTTTAACTCAAGTAAAAATTAAATTTAAATTAATATAAAATTTAAATTTTTAAAATAATCTTAAATAAAATTTAATAAAAATTTAGAAGTTAATTTTATTTAAAATTTTATTAAAATTTAATTTTTTTAAAAAATATAAATTGATATAAAAGATTTATATCTCAAATAAATATTAATAAATTATTTTTTCAAAATAAAATTTTAATTTTAACTTATTTAATTAAGTTATTAAATATTAAAATTTATTTAAATATAAAAATTTTTATTATATATCTTTTATAAAAAAATTTTTTACTATAATAACTTTTTTTAATTATTATTTCTTAAATTTTACTATATAAAATTTGATTTAATTACTTAACTTTGAATTTTAATATCTTTATAATTACTAGTTCAATTTTTATGAAATTTAGAATATATATTTATCAAATTTAGGACAATCTACTTATATAATTTGAGGTTATAATATTGCAAATTAATAATGATAATTTTAAAATATCTTTTTTTTAAAAAAATAATTTTATTTTAATTTCTTTTTTAGTAAAGTAATGCTTTATTTATTATTGAATTAAAGTATAGTAGAATAATTAAAATAATCTAAAAAGTTAATTTAGATTATTTTTATTTAATATAAAAAAATTATAAAATTCAATTAAAATTTGAATAATTTTTATATAAATTATTAAATTTATTAAATTAAAAAATATAATAAAATAAGAATAAATAAGAAATAAATTAGTTTTAAAATAATAAAATAAAAATAAATTAGTTTTAAAAAAAATTAATAATTTTCTAATATTATTAATTTTATAAATTATAAATTATAATATAATTTATTATTTAATATTTTATAAATATATATTATTATTATAAAATCTAATTATTATATTTAATATAACATTTCTTAGAAAAAATTATCTCAAATATTGGAACACTTAAAAAAAACGTTAACCGGAAAACGAAACAATATTAAGTGAATATGACATAAATTTTTGATATCTTTAGACTTCTTGTATCATATTCTCAAAAAAAAAAAGGGGGGGGGAATGTGGCAATGAAACATAAAACTGATATTTTTAGATACAATCAAAAGCTCTAACAAATGAAATTTCCGGAAATTCTATATTTGTTTTTGGCTCGATTGTCATATTTCGATTTGTCATTTTTGGGGACTTACCCTATGTATGGTAAATTATCATTATGTAATATTGTTTAATAATTTTCTCGCGAACTCATCATTTGCCGCGGAACCTGGAGAACGTAGTTGTTTCCACTATTTGACCCGATTTTGTTGATTTTACATTAAACATATTAATCTTTTAAAGAAAATATCGATTAGTAAAATTATTTATTCAGGATCTTTATACAAAAAGTAGTTTCTTTGTCATCGTCACGAGAAAAAATCTGGTTCAACAGAACTAGAATCTTGCTAGAAGCAAAATTAACCGACAAATTCTAATATTCCTGCCTCGCGTATATTGTAGTCGTCGGTCAAATTTAGATTAATGCTGAAAAAGAATCGCAACTACTAAATCCTACCAAAATAGATTGATTGGGCTTGGGAAAATGTGAAGTTTCTCCGATGAATCTATTCCCTTTACGGCACAAGTGATAAAGTGATGAATGAATTTTTACTGTTAGGATATCTCTATTAAGGAAGTGAATAGAAAAATCGAAGTCACTATTAATTTATTTGTAAGCAAATAATTAAAAAAGGAAGTGAATAGAAAAATCGAAGTCACTATTAATTTATTTGTAAGCAAATATTTAAAAAAGGAAAAGCAAAACTTTTTGGAGTGATTCCTATGCCAACTAAGGATATTTTAATTAAGAATTTCATTTCTTGGTAAGGAGGATAACACGAAGACAACTATGACTATTTCCTCCTTTGTCAGAGATAATTTATAAACCAGAAAAATTAAACAAATTATTGATTATGTTAATAGGCAAACCTAGTGTTCAAGTCAGCTGGGACTAACAAAAATCCAATAAAAATGAACGGGACTTAGTGTAGCGCCCACGTTAAATTTGATTCTTAATTTTATTGTATGTTTTCTTTTACGGCAACGATATTCCAATTACTTTGGGGATATTTTTGCGTTACTTGAGAATGAGTGTCAAAATATTGATTTTGAATCAGTTCACACGTTAAAGAAAGGGGGGGGGGGGGGTGGTTAGATTTGATCAACTTAAATTACCCGGCATGTTAACATCGCATTCATGTCAGATAAAAAAAATCTTACTGCGACTGCGAGCATCGAACAATTTGAGCACAATTTTAAGAATTATAAAGACACGACTATTCTCAAATGTTTATATTTAATCAGATAACTTGTCAACTTGTTTCTTATCAGTCGTTTTCTTTCACTTTCGATTGGCGCGACCACAGACTTCGTTTGAATATTCTTTCACGCGTTCAAAAACTCTTAAACTTTTTTGCTATTTGAACAGTAACAGCAATATGCCACCATACAAAAGCCGAGCGAGTACCTTACGACAACGAAAAACGGGGGTAGGAGAAGAGAAGAAAACCGAAGAATCCAGTGAAACCGTTACCAGTAGCAATAAGAAAGCTAACGAGAGAAGAAAAGAAAAAGCTAATTTACTACTGAGTACCGCACGAAAGAGAACCAGCAAGAAGGATACAGTTCCGGCAGAAGATAAAAGCAAGCAAACCGACGCAGCCATAACTGGCTCCGCTAGAGGTGCTAGTACTAGCGGGATAATTCGATCCACGACAAAGTCCGATCCATCAGACACAACCAAAGCAACAATATCTGCAGATAAGGACAGAGTCTCCTCTGGTACTGCCGGAACAACTCGAGACAAGACAAGATCTGCCAAGGCAAGTAAAAGCAGACGAACCGAAGCGGCGATAGCTGCAAATAAAGCCAGATACGACGCTAAACTTGCTAGAATTGCCAGAATTGCCAGAATCAACAAGGCTAAAGCTATGAAAAAGTCTGGTCTCTCCGATATCATTTCGACAAATACTATTACAGAAGAAGAAATCTCCAAAATCAGAAATGATAATAACAAGATTCAAAAAGACAGTAACACTACTGTAATCGAAGATAACGCTATTACAACTATTCCGTCAACTTCCAAGTTATTGAATTCGTCTGCAGATGAAGGTACTACCATGGTAGAAAACAC